AGGTCAGTCAGTAAAAGTATTTATTGAGCCAGACCCTCCTCTGCTTCTGAGTCATATTCTGGTAAAGCAGGAAGGTTGTCAGGGAGAAGTTTTAACTCTTTCAAATAACAAAGGTTACTCCTCCATGTAACAGGGTAGGTCTCTAAGTTATCCTGTGGGGCTTATGCTAATTCTTTACTTGATACTTTAGATAATGAGGTATATATTTAGTCTGATAGTGAGATGGAATTTGAGAAAATATAGTAGTAGAAGGAAAATAATATCTACCTGGCTCAACCTTGAGGAATTGTTTTAATAACTTATAGATGGCTAAGGGTTTTGAAAAATATTGTTTGTTTTAGGGAAAAAATATTTATGACACCACCCTTATGTGGAAATTTGACATCTGGCAACTTCAGCTGTCTGGAAGACAGCCAGAAAATAAGAAAGGGGCCTCAGAGCACATAAAAAATAACTATTGAAGGACTCTAGCACTACCTCATGTACTTTACCACTGCAGAAGAGTTCGTTAGCCTCTCATTTGGCACATGTTTACTTTTTATTTATCTGGAAACTTTAAATAATTTTGGTGAGGTGTGTGTGGTCCTCCCATCCCCCAGCAGATCATAAACAACAATCTAGAAAGAGGTAGAAAAGTTGACAGAGGAAATAAAGTGATAGCAAAGGGAAAGCTGACATTAAAAGAGAAAGACCTAAAAGTTACATAGTACTGGTATTTTGTATTACAGCAGAGTACAGTAAGGTATGGTCTTAATAATGAACTTACTAAGTTCATGTTCAGTATCTTTTCTTCTACTGAAGAAGGCAAGGGTGTATATAATGTGCCTATTTTAAAACATGGTCAAAGTGAACCACGTTTTGACGTGTTGAAATGGTAAATTCTGTAGTGTTTATATACTTGAAATACCACATTCTGGTGATGCTGTATTGGTGGCACACATTTGATCTTGTAGCTGATTACGGGAATGATGTTTAGTAATAACTGCTAACATTTATGGAGCACCTAGGTGCTGGCTTAGGTCCTTTCACACTATTAGCATACTGGTTAAGGCTTTGGAGACAGGCAGATCTGGGTTCCTATTCCATGTCTGACTGACTTTGTGACCTGGACAGGTTATATAATCTCTCTGAGCTTGTACCCTCACTAGCAAAATGGGAATCAGTTATATACAATAAGGTTGTCGTGAGAACTCAATGAGGGAATTCATAGTACAATGCATGGCACATAGTAAGTGCTCAATAAATGTTAGGCATTAGTATAATTATTTTTATCATTGTGATCATCCTCTTGATGATTATTATGAAAATATGATTATCTCCATTTTTCTGAAAAACGAAGCTGAAGCCCAAAGAGTTTAAGTAATATATCCAAGGTGAAAAAGCTAATAACTAGTGGAGCTGGGATTTGAACCTTGATTCCTCTGACTCAAGGAGCCTCGTACTTTGCATTCACATTATGCTGCCTCCTCAGTGTGTGATTTTAATTCTATATTTTTTTAATACTTAAAGAAAATATGTGGTGAGAGAGGATGTGGGGAATGGTACTAGCTACTTCTCTTCTCCATTGTGTACCCAAGTCATCTCATTATAGGAAAAAGAGTTTCAGTAACGCAAAGATAAGCTCTTTTTACTCAACAGTTCAAATTAAATATGTAATATGTGCATTAACAGACTGAACAGTTTATTATGTGCCTAAATGTTTGTCCACATAATTCGTAGACTGTAAACTTAGAGCTATAACTATCCTTTTTTGTAATTAGGCACTTAGTGCTTATTGATATTGTTTATTGTTATATGTGAGATGAAAGTTAGAATCCTCATCTCTGCCAAAACCAAATGATACTTGAGGCAAATAAAGAAAAATAGGCTTGAGGCCTGGACAATCTGGAGATCTTCTGCCACTCCTTGCAAAAGACCTTGGAGAAGTGTGAGGTAATCATGGCTGAAGGTAATCATGGCTGATGGCATATGCCCTCTATTTATTGCCTCCCTTTCTATTGCTTAGCTTGTCCTTAGGCTCCCTTGGCACAAAGTAACAGACACATTGTCTTATTACAGCACAGACACCATAAGACAGTATGCAAGTTTGGGCCGTAGGCGTCTTTGAACCGAAAACACATTCTTGATCTGGTATAGTGTACTAAAGCTTGTCTGGAGGTGCCATCTACATAGCCCTTTCTTAGTCTTTTTATGGATTTGTCTTTTTCAATGCATTTTAAATCTGGGCCACTGAGGTATGGTCCTGCTGCTGTTCTTCAGGTCAAATTGTTTTTTTTACAGGCACAGTCTCAGTAGGTAGAGGCCGGAATGCACTCAGTCTGAATCCTGGCCCTGCTGCTGTAAGCTCTGTGATCTTGAACAAATTTTCTAACTTGCTGAGCCTCAGTACCCTCATCTTTAAGATAGCTGTGGGGAGGGACTACATCAAATTAAAAAGCTCTCAATCACTTCCCCCAGTGGTTGAGAGTCCACCTGCCAATGCAGGGGACACGGGTTCGAGCCCTGGTCCAGGAGGATCCCACATGCCGTGGAGCAACTAAGCCTGTGTGCCACAACGACTGAGCCTGCGCTCTAGAGCCCACGAGCCACAACTACTGAGCCTGTGTGCCACAGCTACTGAAGCCCGCACGCCTAGAGCCCATGCTCTGCAACAAGAGAAGCCACCGCAATGAGAAGCCCGTGCACTGCAGCAAAGAGCAGCCCCCACTCGCTGCAACTAGAGAAAGCCCGCACGCAGCAACAAGACCCAATGCAGCCAAAAATAAAATAAGTAAAATAAATTTATATTTAAAAAAAAGCTTTTGTACAGCAAAGGAAACTATCAGCAAAACAAAAACGCCACGTACTGAATGGGAGAGGATATTTGCAAATGATACATCCAACTCAACATCAAAAAAACAAGCAACCCAATTAAAAAACAGGCAGAGGATCTAGACATTTTTCCAAAGAAGGCATACAGGTGGCCAACAGGCACATGAAGGAAATGCAAAGAAAAACTACAATGAGATGTCATCTCACACCTGTCGGATTGGCTGTTAAAGATAATAAATAACAAGTGTGGGCGAGGATGTGGAGAAAAGGGAAACCTTATGCAGTGTTGGTGGGAATGTAAATTGGTACAAACACTATGGAAAACAGTATGTAGTTTCCTCAGAAAATTAAAAATAGGACTACTGTATGATCCAGCAATTCCACTCCTGGATATTTATCTGAAGAAAGCTAATTCAGAAAGATATATGTTTGCCTGTGTTCATTGCAGCATTATTTACAAAAGCTATGGAAGCAAGCTTAGTGCCCATTAATAGATGAATGGATGAAGAAGATGGAATATTCCATGCCAATGGAATATTATTCATAAAAAAATAATGGAATCTTGTCATTTTCAATAACATGGATGGACCTAGAGGGTGTTCTGCTAAATGAATAAGTCAGAGAAAGACAAATACTGTATGATTTCACTTATATGTGGAATCTAAAAAACAAATGAACAAACATAAAACAAAAAAAGTCATAGATACAAAGAACAAACAGGTGGTTGCCAGAAGGGAGGGGAGTGAGGGGAGGAAAGAAATAGGTGAGAGAGTTTAAGAAGTAACCTCCAGTTGTAAAACAAACGAGTCACGGTATAGTGTGGGGAATATAGTTAATAACTAATATCTTTGTATGGTGACATGTAACTAGACTTATTGTGGTGATCATTTTGAAATGCATAGAAATATTGAATTGCTAAGTTGTGTAAGAGGAACTGACAGTGTTGTAGGTCAACTATACTTCAAAAATAAACAAACTCGGGCTTCCCTGGTGGCGCAGTGGTTGAGAATCTGCCTGCAAATGCAGACGACACGGGTTCGAGCCCTGGTCTGGGAAGATCCCACGCCATGGAGC